TCAATAAAGCTGCTGTGGTGCTTTGGGGGTTTATTTTTAAAGATGGATTATAAAAATTTCAGTCACGTTTCCAAACCCAACTCGTGCTAATGAGAGAATTCGCTCCGCAAATTCACATGGGTCAGTCTGGAGCCTTCCATTTTCAATGCTCATCCAGGGGGAATGGTTTGGCCCATGGAAGATGGAGAAAACGTTCCCCAAAGCCAAGGAATCCTGAGCTCCTCTTGGAGCCAAGGAGCGAGCCATCGCTGGTTGAGTCAAACCAGCCACAAAGCCGACAGTGCATAAATTAACTATGCATTTTGAACAAATTCTTCAACACCAGTCACACAGAGCCTCCTAGCAGAAGAGATCTTTACTCTAAAAATAGAGATCCAAGATATACAGAAATATTTAGACCATGTTAAGCACATCAAATATTTAATCTTCCTTAAGCCAATTCTCTTTGCTTTTAACTTTTCACTCAAAGTTCAGCCAGAGAAAATTAAGTTGGGTTGGGGAGGGAAGCAAGGCCACCATGGAGATCGATCACAAGTTTTATTTTTTTTTTTTTTTTGTTTTATTTATTTTTTTTTTTTTTTTATGAGCAGAGGACAGGAAGAGCAGAGGACAGGAAGAGCAGACAGGAAGAGCAGAGGACAGGAAGAGCAGAGGACGGGAAGAGCAGACGGGAAGAGCAGAGGACAGGAAGAGCAGACAGGAAGAGCAGACGGGAAGAGCAGACAGGAAGAACAGAGGACAGGAAGAGCAGAGGACAGGAAGAGCAGACAGGAAGAGCAGACGGGAAGAGCAGAGGACAGGAAGAGCAGACAGGAAGAGCAGACGGGAAGAGCAGACAGGAAGAACAGAGGACAGGAAGAGCAGAGGACAGGAAGAGCAGACAGGAAGAGCAGACGGGAAGAGCAGACAGGAAGAACAGAGGACAGGAAGAGCAGAGGACAGGAAGAGCAGACAGGAAGAGCAGACGGGAAGAGCAGACGGGAAGAGCAGAGGGCAGGAAGAGCAGACAGGAAGAACAGAGGACAGGAAGAGCAGACAGGAAGAGCAGACAGGAAGAGCAGAGGACAGGAAGAGCAGAGGACAGGAAGAGCAGACAGGAAGAACAGAGGACAGGAAGAGCAGACAGGAAGAGCAGACAGGAAGAGCAGAGGACAGGAAGAGCAGAGGACAGGAAGAGCAGACAGGAAGAGCAGAGGACAGGAAGAGCAGAGGACGGGAAGAGCAGACGGGAAGAGCAGAGGACAGGAAGAGCAGACAGGAAGAGCAGACGGGAAGAGCAGACAGGAAGAACAGAGGACAGGAAGAGCAGAGGACAGGAAGAGCAGACAGGAAGAGCACACGGGAAGAGCAGAGGACAGGAAGAGCAGACAGGAAGAGCAGACGGGAAGAGCAGACAGGAAGAACAGAGGACAGGAAGAGCAGAGGACAGGAAGAGCAGACAGGAAGAGCAGACAGGAAGAGCAGACAGGAAGAGCAGACGGGAAGAGCAGACAGGAAGAGCAGACAGGAAGAACAGAGGACAGGAAGAGCAGAGGACAGGAAGAGCAGACAGGAAGAGCAGACGGGAAGAGCAGACGGGAAGAGCAGAGGGCAGGAAGAGCAGACAGGAAGAACAGAGGACAGGAAGAGCAGACAGGAAGAGCAGACAGGAAGAGCAGAGGACAGGAAGAGCAGAGGACAGGAAGAGCAGACAGGAAGAACAGAGGACAGGAAGAGCAGACAGGAAGAGCAGACAGGAAGAGCAGAGGACAGGAAGAGCAGAGGACAGGAAGAGCAGACAGGAAGAGCAGAGGACAGGAAGAGCAGAGGACGGGAAGAGCAGACGGGAAGAGCAGAGGACAGGAAGAGCAGACAGGAAGAGCAGACGGGAAGAGCAGACAGGAAGAACAGAGGACAGGAAGAGCAGAGGACAGGAAGAGCAGACAGGAAGAGCACACGGGAAGAGCAGACAGGAAGAACAGAGGACAGGAAGAGCAGAGGACAGGAAGAGCAGACAGGAAGAGCAGACAGGAAGAGCAGACAGGAAGAGCAGACGGGAAGAGCAGACAGGAAGAGCAGACAGGAAGAACAGAGGACAGGAAGAGCAGAGGACAGGAAGAGCAGAGGGCAGGAAGAGCAGACGGGAAGAGCAGAGGACAGGAAGAGCAGACAGGAAGAGCAGGCAGGAAGAGCAGACAGGAAGAGCAGACAGGAAGAGCAGACGGGAAGAGCAGGCAGGAAGAGCAGAGGACAGGAAGAGCAGACAGGAAGAGCAGACAGGAAGAGCAGAGGACAGGAAGAGCAGAGGACAGGAAGAGCAGACAGGAAGAGCAGAGGACAGGAAGAGCAGAGGACAGGAAGAGCAGACAGGAAGAGCAGACGGGAAGAGCAGACGGGAAGAGCAGAGGACAGGAAGAGCAGACAGGAAGAGCAGACAGGAAGAGCAGACAGGAAGAGCAGACGGGAAGAGCAGACGGGAAGAGCAGAGGACAGGAAGAGCAGAGGACAGGAAGAGCAGACAGGAAGAGCAGACGGGAAGAGCAGACGGGAAGAGCAGAGGACAGGAAGAGCAGACAGGAAGAGCAGACAGGAAGAGCAGACAGCACGATCACAAGTTTTAAAAGGGCACTTTGTCTCTGTGATTTCCTTCCTCTGGACTTCCCTCCCCCTGCACCCCAGTCCTGCACCCTTGAGGGGCTGCTTTACCTAAGAGCCTCTGCTTTGGTCTTCCATGGAAGCTTCCTGTTCTAAAACTACCCTTCTCATCATGCACCCCTGTTATCCAAACTCCCCCGAGGCCGCCTCCAGGGAGTGGAGACTGACTACACTTGAACGACACACTGGTACAGAGGTGTGAGTGAGACTGTTAGTGACAGGTTCAGTCCACACACCTGGACAGAGATCTGACTCAGGTGCTTTTGCTTTTGGTGTGGCCAGTGACAGGAAACACACGCACACTTTGAGACGAACCCACACTCTGACTCCATCACTGCCTCTCGTCACCCCCTGGCCCCGAAGGCAGGAAGAAGAGATTCTGTCCTGGAGCCAGAGTGCGCCCAGCCAGCGTCCCTACAGAATGTTCAGCAGGAGCCAGGGAGGGGCCTGTTTCCACAGTCTGTCGGTCTTGTGAGCCTAAGAACTGACATCATCACTCCCACCCCTGTGCCCGGCACTCCGGCAATTCCCACAACTACCCTGTGAGGGAGGTAGTAGTATTCTCCCCTCATTTCTTTTTTTTTTTTTTCCATCCTCACCCGAGGATATTTTTCCATTCTTTTGTTAAGATAGAGTGGGAGGAGGGGGGGAGAGAAAGAGAAAGAGAGAGAGAGATCGATGTGAGAGAGACAGATTGACTGGCTGCCTCCCACATGACCCCCACCAGGGCCAGGGACAAATTGCAGCGGAGGTACATGCCCTTGACCGGAATGAAACTCGAGACTCATTGGTCCACGCTCTAACTGCTGAGCCAAACCGGCCAGGGCTCTCCCCTCATTTCAAAGGTGGAAACGGAGGCAGAGAGAATTTAGGTGACTTGCCCAAGTCACACAGCTGAGAAGTGGCCTCAGCTCTGTACAGCCCAGTGCCACACCCGTCTCCTTAACCATGTACACCTCTGCCTCTCTTCAGTGCTCACTTGTATCCTTCCACCGTGGGAAGGACAGCCAGCCCTCAGCGGGTCTCCCCGATTCCAGCAGTGAGAGGTGGGGGACCACCCACCCCAAAGGCAGGTGCAGACATCCTCTTCTGGGCTGGATGGAGCTGCTGTCCTATCAACGCCACCCGATCTGCCCAGCTGGCTCACTTCGCCATTTCATTCAAGCTAATTCACACTTATTCTAAGTTCCACCTAACCCTTACATTAATTTTTTTTTTAAGTTTACATTTCTAAGCTAAAGGCTCTTTTGGAGCAGGGCAACAGGATGACTTTGCACATTTTACTACCATCTGCTGGAAAATTGTGGCAACAACACAAGTCAGTGAAGCACACAGTGCCCCCTGGAGTTGTGCAAGGAACAGTTTTTTCCACTGTAAGCAATGCCCCTGCCTAATTGAGCCAATAGTCTGGTGACTAAAGAGAGACTTAAAACACCAACCCCAAGAGATTTTCCCGGGTTCTCCCTAAACTGGTAACTAGTTCCGTGAGTATCTGCACATTAAAACAAGAGCACGTTTACCTCAACAGATCTCTGATTCGCAGGATCTATAGTACAGTGACAAGAGTGATGGGAAGGATTTCATGCAGGGTGAACAAATCCTTGGTTGGTGATGGCTTAGAATAAGTCCCTTCACAAAATAATGGCAGTGTGTTTCTCCAAACATTTGCAATGAAAACACCTTTATGTAAAATGTCTTATTTGAACTACATAAGAATTCTGAGAAGTGCTATGATTGTCTTCACTTTAAAGAAGAGAGGACCCCAGGGGAGGCTGTTTAATGACTTCTGTGTGCCTGACAGTGTGTGCAGTACTTGACATTCATTGTCTTCCTCAGTCTTCACAGGAGTCCTGTTTCAGATGGAGGAACCAAGTGTGAGAGACCCTGAATGTTTATCCCAAGGTCACTCTGCTGGGAAAGGTCAGAGTCAGGACTTGAACCCAGATCTGCCTGGTGCTCAGCCTGAGCTCTTTGCAGTATGCACACCATGCAGGCGAACCCAGGGCCCCAGCTGAGGGGAGGCAAAGACTGACATTTATTGAACCCCTTCTACTCTAGGGATTTTACTCATTGTCTTACATGCTCTTCACAATCCCCTTTATGGTAGGAACTGTCTGTCCTGAATTGCATGTAAGAAAATTTAGAAGTGATAGGATTTAAACCCAAGTCTTCCAGCGCCAAAGCTTGTGCTGTCTCCATGACAGGGTCCTGCAAGCCAACTTTCTGGTGCCTCCTAAAGCTGGCCCCGTGGGGAGCTCTCCCACGACCATGTGCACCTTCTGAGAGACAGGACACTCCCAGCCCATTCTCCCCATTTCTCCTCCTCCCTCACGGAGCTAACAATTCCATCCGCCTTCCGTCCTCAGGTGAGCATCTCCACTGTGGGCTACGGAGACATGTACCCGGAGACCCACCTGGGCAGGCTCTTTGCCTTCCTCTGCATCGCTTTCGGGATTATCCTCAACGGGATGCCAATCTCCATCCTCTACAACAAGTTCTCCGACTACTACAGCAAGCTCAAGGCTTACGAGTACACAGCCATCCGGAGGGAAAGGGGCAAGGTGGACTTCATGAGGCGGGCTGGAAAGAAGATGGCTGGGTGTCTGGCTAAAAGCATCCCACAGCCTGCCCCAAAGCCAGAGGACAACACCCTGTAGGTCGTGTGGCTGGTAGATCCCGGGACCTCCAAGGCTTGCTCCCTTCTTCCTTTCCATCAGCAGGATGGCCAGCGAGAGGCCAGGTGAGGCAGACACAAAGGGCGTTCGGCTCAGAGTCCTGCCTCACTAATGTTCCTTTCGACCCAAACGCAGACGGCTCCCACGTGCTGTGAGTCTGACCTTCCAATGACATTGATGCTGGAAACTCCTGGAGAGGAGCGACATCGTAGCTTTCTCTTGCAGCTTCTCGTGGCTTCTCAATAAATATTTTTGGACTCCAGTGGCCTGGAGAAGAATTTCCTTCCTTTGAAGAAGAGGAACCATTATCTCCCAGAGAGGGAGTGCCGTGGCCGGACCTCCATGCGCCTTGGCGTTAGACTGACCGCAGCCAGAAGCCAGGTCTACCAGCTGTAGGGTTTGGGACACGTATTTTAACTGTCTGAGCCTCTGTTTCTTCCACTATAAAATGTAGGTAGTAAGAAACGACCCTGTAATATGAGCATGGGGAGTGAAGATAAATAAAGGGCAGCAGTTAAACCTGCCTGAGTTAGAGACCTGTCCAGTGGACTCTCCAGACTGATGGTTCTCAGTCCAGGGGATTTGATCATTGCCCACCCCACCCCCCTGGAAATTTGGCTTTTGACTGTCACCTTTGTGAGGGAGGATGGGGGGCTACGGCACCCAGTAGGCAGACCTGGGGTGCTGCTGGATGTGCGCCGGGCAGCCCCTCAGCAAAGAACAATCTGGCCCAGAAGAACATCGGGCCAACGCCAAGAAAAGTCCCTGACTCGACCTGTGCAACATGCGAAAGTGTGCTGATCCCGTCTCCTTGCCAGGAGTCCACACATGTCCCCACCTCCCCAGGCCTCCTGCCCTTCCCCTTTCCTTGAAAAACAAAACAACAAAACAAACTCTGCCTTTTGGGGACAGTTCTGGGCAGAGCACTGAACGAAGTAAATAAAATCGATGTGGCCCTGCACACTGGGCTCTGTCTGTGGGTCAGAAGACCACTTCCCACAGGGTGTTGGTTCTTTCTCTTCCTACCACTTTTCCTCCTAATTTCTTCCTTTTTCCAAAGGACTATTGCAATTTGAAGTCCTGAAAAGTGAAGGCTCGTTTGTACTGAGCAAATAGAGATTGCTCAGTATATAATATATATTATTATATATATAATATATAACTTTGTTTCATCCTTGATATATCCCTAAATTAGGTACTACCTTCCTTTTTAACTTAGGAAGAATCACTTTTTTATTAGGAAGAAACAGAAACTCAGAGAGGTCAGGCACCTCAGCCAAGTTGGCACAGTCAGCACAATCAGCGCCGGTCTGTCTGATCCCTGAGGCCCTCACACAAGTCGAAACTTGTGGTTCTCAAACTGCACCAGCATTACCCAGAGGGCTTGTTAAACACAGATTACCGGACCTACCCCAGAGCTTCAATTCCATAGACCTGGGTGATACTCGAGGATTTGTATTTCTACGAAGTGCCAGGTGATGCTGATGCTGCTGGTCCAGGCAGCACATCCTGAGAACTAGGGGTCTAAATCACTTCCCTCTGAACATGAAACTAGGGTGCAGCTGGAAATACCTGGACCCAGCTCTCCTCCCCCTTACTCCCAAGTGCCCTTAACATCATCATAACTGACCTGCCCTCTGGGGTGGACAGAAGCCCCACTATGTACTCGGAGGTTGCTAAGATAAAATCTGAATGCTTGAGTACATTTGAATTCCAGATACATAACTGAGTTTTAGAAGTGTGTCCCAATTTTTGCCTAGTCTATACTTCCACTGCAAAGTATCTGCTGTCTGTCTGCAGCTCGAATTTAACTGGGCATCCTCTTTCTGCCAGATCTGCAAACCCTCTGCTGGTGCTTCTGAGACACAAAGGTTCCTCACAGAGAAGAACCTTACCCCTAAATCCTAGAACCCCACCTGCATAGCAGGACCCTCCACCTAGGGGACTTCTCTCCCTCTTGCCAAGTAAGAGGGAGGAATTTTGCATCCGCTTCTGACCAGGAAGAACCATGGAAACAGTTACACAGGCAGGAGACCAGAGCACACCTCAGAGCACCGCCGGCCACGCTCAGGGCAGCCGCTGCCCCTCCCAGCCCACCCCCCACCCTTCAGCTCCTTCTGAGGTCTCCAGGGGAGGGGCTTGCTGATGAACGGCATCTGCTGGGGCTGTTGAGGGCACAGGGAACAGGAAGGGCCAGTGTCCACCACCCCTCCTCCCACTCAAGGGCCAGACAGAATGACCCGGAGGAGCCCAGCAGGAGAGACTCCCTGAGGGGGGGGGGGGGAGGACGCAGGGCTTGGTGAGGAGGATGAACTTTTCCCGGTCCCTGGGAGGGCATCTGGTCAGTGACAGCAGCCCCTTCCTCCCAGTCTCACTAGCCACATCTGTTTAAACAGCTGTGCTCTGCCTCCCAAGAGAAGGAGACTGACAGACAGAAGGGAGTGGAAACCAAAAAAACGACCGGCACCGAACCCACATGGCCCGACCCTTCAACGGCCCTGTGAAACAGCATGCAAGGTGGTCGCTGACAGAGGCTCAGCCGCAGGGAACTCGATATGCTCTTTGGCACTGGATTTGAAGCCTGGCTCTGCCACGTACTGTGAGACTGAATCATGGGAATTTGCCATTTTCATCAAAAACAGCTGAATGTTGGCAATGTCACATGTCCTACTGGCAACTTAATATTGCGTGGTCACTCAGTTTCCCCAAGCCTCCGCTTCTGCACTGTTCCAATGGAGAGAAAACCCTCAGCACCCTGCTCGGCTCGTGTTAGGAACGAAAGAAATGTGGGCTGCAGTTACCACCATTAGGATTTTGCTGGCTGCACAGGAAACCTGTCCAAGCTCAGAGAGAGTCGCCTGTCGCCAAGGGGAGGATTCGGGTGAAGACAGCTTTGGGGTCGTTGCCAGCCCCGGCCAGTCTGCCCAGCAGAAGGTGCTCGAGTGATGAAACGCGCACGGTCTCATATGATGCGGCCACTGTGACTCAGGAAGCGCATTTTTCATTCCCATTCATTTCGATTCGTTTCACTGAAATGTAAATGGCCACTGTGGCTCCGGGCCGCGCGGTGGGCAGCGGAGGTGGGGCCTTTCGTCCACCCTCACGGAGGTGTCTGCCCCGAGGTTGGGAGGGTCGTGTTAACATTAAAGAAAAACAATAGATTATCACTAAAAAAAAAAAAGTTTCCAAAGCTTCAAATTCCCTCCTTCGTGGCTGATGCCCGGCCCCCAAGTCAGGATGAATGTGGTCTCCTCACCTCAGTGCCCCCCCACTCAACTCTCGTGCACATCTTTAGAGCTCATGTGGCTCTACACGTGTACTCCACTTTATTGTCTCTTGGCGTGTCCTGGGCCCTCTCCGTTCGTCCTTCCAGAGCCGCTGTTCACCCTGCTCTGTCCTGCTGCGTGGTCCAAGGGGTCTTCTTCCATGTCTGTCCCTCCCGGGCTCCCTTCCCCCGTGCAGGCTGTCAGCAGACGAGAGGAGACCGCTCTGGTATGAACCCCTCCCTGTGGGCAGGAGTCTGGCGGCTGCTAAGGCCCCTTCGCCACTGCTCGGTGAGCAGCACCAGCACTCAACTTCCAGCCACACCTTCCCCTCCGGTCTTCCCTTCGGCCGGGGAGTGGAAATGATCTCTCTGCCCCTTGGGTTCCCGTAATCCTGACCGTACCTCTATAAATAGAATGTCTATTAAGATCTCCCCAGTGAAATCTTGTAGCTTGCCTCTATTTCCCACTGGGACCCGGATTAGTACATCTCGTCTACCTTGAGGAAAGTATTGTTCATGTTCCTCAAATCGCCACCAAAAGATGAGGCATGTTTATCTGAGGAGCCGTGCCTCACCAACAGATCACCCAGACTGGGAAATACAGGCCTTGGATGTACAGAGAGGCATGTTCAGCTCACAGATGGTGGGTAGGGCAGTGATGACTGGCACCCTTAAGTGCCAGTAAATGATTCATTCTTTCTGTCAGAGTTTCTGCTCCCTTTAGGAGCAGATTTCAATGACTCAATCTGTTGAGTTCCCTCTGCAGCCCCATCCACACATACTAATGAACTCCCGAGACTACACGATGGAACAGCATGCATGAAATGAGATGGAATACATGCACCTCGGACAGAAATGCCCCGTGAGGACGTAAATAAATTATGTTGGCCAGTCTCCTACCTTCACTCAGGTAAGGTTTTATTAGCCTTGTTTTGTAAGTGATAGAACTGATTCCCAGAGAAGTTAAGAAATGTGCCCAGAGATGACAAACATCTGTTTTCCGTGTTGCCATTCCCCTTGCTGTGCCCACAGCAGATGTTCTTAGCCAATCACATTGCTCCCCTGTTGGAGAGCCCTCCCGGTGCTCCTAGCAGCCAGTACCGCTGCGTCAGAGGGACACTCCAGGCCTGTCTGCTATCCTGGAACGTGCTCAGACTTTAAAAATTAGGAAGTGGGACTACCTTTCAGTCTCTATAGTCTCCTACTACGCTGTTCTTTTTTTTTTTTTAATATATTTTTATTGATTTGAGAGAGAGAGGAAGGGAGAGGGAGAGAAACATCAGTGTGAGAGAGAAACAACAAGTTGCCTCCTTTATGCAGCTGGGGACTGAACTCGCAACCTGGGTATGTGCCCTGCCTAGGAATCGAACCAGCAACTTTTCAGTGTGCGGGATGACACTCAACCAACTAAACCACACAGGCCCGGGCTCACTGTTCTTTCTGAAGGATTTTTCTGTAAATCCAGAAAACCTGTGCAGACTATACTCATGTTATCCTTAGTACTATTCAGCCTTTGTCATCAAACCTCCCTGAGCCTCAGTTTCTACCTTATAATGGAGATTAAGAGCTTAGGAAAATTAATGGATATATGAATACAAAGTACTTGACACAATCTCTATCATACAGTAGATGCTCAGTTCATGGTAGCTCTTGTCCATTCTTCATAAACAGAATGTCAGTGCTGTCCACCGTCTACAGCGTGCCCTTCTGTGGTGCTCATTAGGGTCCATGACTGTTGATTTGTTCACTAATATTTTAGTTCTCCTGGAAGTAGAAATACACCTTTGTTGGGTAAAACTCCTGAGTTTTTAGAGCTGTTTCTTCCTGCAGCCGTAACCTAATCCATCTTGATGGATGTTTCTTTTTGTATCAAGGTTCCAGAGGAGCTGAAGCATCTCCATCTCACAACAGAAAAGTGACTTGAAATATTCATGTACCTTAAATGTTCATGTCTCTGCAGTCATTTTTTCATTCTCCGAACACAGTGCTGGAGAACAAAGTTACTTAAAATGTGCCAAATGCCCATTATGAGCCGAGCATTGCTCTCGGCACCTCGCGTGAGCTAATGTGACCACGCAGCCCAAAGTGTGGCATCTTGACATCCAAATTCACGCTAATTATCATTGTCATTGTTGTTATACATCGACACTGGTCCTTACGACAAACCAACAAGGTAGGGACTGTTATCATCTCCATTTGACAGACGAGAAAACTAAGGCACAGAGCAGTCAGGGAACACGCCGGGGTTTCGGAGGCACGCGTGGGCGGGGCAGGACAGCTGCTGGGAGTGGCTCAGCCCTGCCCGCTGGCGGCTGCCTCTGTGTCTGGGAGTCAAGGGCACCACGTGTGTGAAGCAAACATGTGGCATTTTCCCCGTCTTGTACTTGGCTCGGGGTGTAGCAGTCCACCTGTTTGAGATGCAGTCAGATAGCTATGGAGTCAAGGTCATCCTCTACAAAGGTGCCTCTACAAAGGTGCTCTTTCCGTGTGGATGGTGGCAGTTGGTGGCTGTGAGCTGCCAGGCCAGACATTGGGGGTGGCCGGGATGACGTCACCTTGCATCAAGCCTCCCGATGTCAACGCTTGTTTTCCACGCCCTTCTTGGTGATTCAGGGCCAATCATTCGGGTAAAACTCACTGCCCTGGCTGGTTTGGCTCAGTGGTTAGAGCGTCGGCCTGCGGACCAGAGAGTCCCAGGTTCAGTTCCCGCTAAGGGCACGTACCTCGGTTGCAGTTTGTCCCAGGACCCAGTTGAGGTCATGTGGGTGGCAACCAGTCTATGTGTGTCTCTCTCTCTCCCCACCTCTCCCTCACAATCTATCTAAAGATAAATGCAAAAATGTTCTCTGGTGATTAAAAAAATATTAATAATAAAATAAAAACTCACTGAGGGTTATCTTTTCCCCTATAAAATGGGACGAATCCCTATGGCATAAGATTACTGTGACTCACATGGATGCTATGAACCCTTGAAATGGGCGCGGCAGTTAGTAGACGTTAAGCGAATGGCAGAGGTGGTGATGGCTAGTCGCAGTGGTAACAGTGACAGTACTAAGACAGCACATGGAGGGTGGCTGGCCCCGAGTTCGTCAGTCCCAACAGTCCTGAGAATGCCGTCCCGCTCCCAGCTTTGCCAGAGTGACTACCCTGGGCGAACTCCCCAGCTCTCTGCCTCTGTCCTGTCACACAGGGATGGTCCCATGCACGTTAGGGAAAACCCCTGCCATTGGAAGGGTCCTTAGAGAACATTTGGTCCAACCCTTTCTCTTCTACACCCCATTATGCAGAAGCAAACACTGAGGCTGAGAATGTAAAGCAGCCTACCTAATTTATGCAATGAATACTATCTCCAAATACACAGAAGCCTGGTTTATTATTTTGTTTTGTTCACTGGTGTGGGTGGGGACGTTGGGGGAGGAGGGTTGGGGACAAGTGATCTGGAAATGTGACATTCTTTTCCCTTGAGAAGTTGTTTTGATTTATTGGAAGAACAAGAGAAGTCCATGGGGAAAAGAGTTATTTAAAAAATGAGATAGGGGATGAGAATTTCTCTGAAAAATGTAAAATATTTGTACAGATAAATCATGGTAGATGGCCAGCAAGATGGCCCTCAGTGACCTGTGCCCTGGTATTCACCCCTGCCCTATGCTACGGGAGCAGGTATCAGTGAGATCTATGGGACATGACAGTGATGGAATGTCACGTCTAAGAGTAGGTCATGAAAGAGCGCTGCTCCTGTCTTGGGCTCTCTGTCAAATCACTTGTCTAGGAAGCCATCTGCCATGACGCGAGGACATTCTGGAAGCCAGTTGTGTGGCCCCGGGGGTGAGGTATCCAGCCAACAGCCAGGCGGAACCTCACCCCTGAGCGTGAGCTTGGAAGCAGGTCCACCAGCCCTAGATGGCTCCAGACCCAGCTGACAACTTCATGGACACCTCGTGAGAGACCCTAGGCCAGAACCACCAAGTTAAATCTTGCCTGGATTCCTGACCCATAGAAACTATGA